CGTGGCAGCTGCAGCCGCTGCACCTGTCGTCTCGTCGTATCGCGACAAACTACGCTCGTCGTCCGCTCGGCTGATCTTCTCTTTGGCTCCCGATCGTGGATCCGATCGACATCGATACCCCATGGATACCGTGTTCGCGGCTCCGATTTCCCTCGACCCGAAACAGACTCCGTCACTTCTGGATAATCGCCGATGAGTTCAGTGGAATACGCGTTCGATCGGTAAAATAGCCACGGGATTTTTCTTCACGTGCTCCGTTTTCGCCCGGAACGGCTTGTGCTCCAGTGTTTCTCGGTTACCTTCTCGCTCTGGCACGAGGTGATAGAAGAAAGAGAGGACCCCGTATAAAAGTGAAAACTTGTTTCTCCGGTGTTCGTGGTTCGGGCCCCGTTTGGATATTTCGGACTACCAGGAATTCGTCCTCGGATCTGGACTCGAACGCTGCCGAGGTGAGTCTCTTCGACGATGAATTCCAGCACCCTGCCACGAGGGTCAAGAGCGGTCAGCCATCTGCCTCTGCACCGCTCTGTCCACTCGTTACGCGGCCATACAATCCTTTTTCAGTTGTAACACTTTTTTTATACCCTTTTATTACTTCCGAGTTATCTCTTGAGCTTTTTTACGGGATTTTTCATTGGTTTTGAGAGGAGAAATTATTGTAATGTGATCTTGTATTGTTATGTATATTGAGGACTTGATGGTATTCGGTTAATGCTCTGACGCATCATGACGCACTCACAGTTAAAATATTATCAATTCTACTGAATCTTTGAGTAGGTTTCAATTTGGAGTATTTAGATTATCATACTACTGGTGTTTAGGTGACTCCTAGTCGTAATCTGACGCATCGTGACGCACTTACAGTTCAAATATAAATTCTACTGAATCTTTGAGTAGGTTTCAATTTGGAGTATTTAGATTATTATACTACTGGTGGTGTATGGGTGACTTCTTGTTCTCTGACGCATCGTGACGCACTTACAGTTCAAATATCATAAATTCTACTGAATCATTGAGTACGTTTCAATTTGGAGTATTTAAATTATTATACTATTGGTGATATTTGGGTGACTCGTCATACCCTGACGCATCGTGACGCACTTACAATTCAAATATTCTACATCCTACTCGAATTTTTAATTTCCTCCAAATTGAAGTATATATTTAAATTATACCGTCGCTGGTAACCAGTAGACTCCTTGACATACTCTGACGCATCATGACGCACTTACAGTTCAAATATTCTAAACTATATCCTATAAGAAAATTAGAATAAAATTTTCTGGTACTTGAGCCTAGTTTTCCACACAATCATATTTGAAGAACCACTGCTGTTATGGGGATGCACGACGTAAACATCTATTGTACTTACAAACAATGTCAGCAGGCGACTGCTATGAACTCGAAAGAAACACACGAACAAAATTTTCGATAAGAAGAATTTTAGTTTCTCAAATTACGAATTTGAAATGGAGGGATTTGGGGGTGGAGAGATTCGGAAATATAGGGATTCGGGAGTGTTGGGATTTGGGGGTGTAGAAATTTTGGCGGGTGTAGAGATTTGAGGGCGTAGAGATTCGGGGGCGTAGAGATTCGGGGGCGTAGAAATTGGTGAACGTAGAGATTCGGGGGCGTAGAGATTCGGGGGCGTAGAGATTCGGGGGCGTAGAGATTCGGGGGCGTAGAGATTCGGGGGCGTAGAGATTCGGGGGCGTAGGGGAACGTAGGAATTCGAGGGTGTAGAAATTCGGGAATGTAGACATTTGGGGGCGTAGAGATTCGGGGGCGTAGAGATTCGGGGGCGTAGAGATTCGGGGGCGTAGAGATTCGGGGGCGTAGAGATTCGGGGGCGTAGAGATTCGGGGGCGTAGAGATTCGGGGGTGTAGAAATTGGTGAACGTAGGGATTTGGGGGTGTGGCGAGTCGGAGGTGTAGAAATTTGGGAATATATGGATTCGGGGGTGTAGAAATTTGGGAACGTAGGGATTCGGGGGTGTAGAAATTTGGCAACGTAGGGATTCGGGGGTGTAGAAATTCGGGAATGTAGGGATTTGGGAATGTAGCGATTCGACAGCGTAGAAATTCGGAAATATAGGGATTTGGGAATGTAGGGATTCGGGAATATAGGGATTTGGGGACGTAGGGATTCGAGGGCGTCGAAATTGGGGAATGTAGAGATTCGTAAATGCAGCGATTCGGAGGCGTAGAAATTTGGGAATGTAGGGATTCGGGGGTGTAAAAATTCGGAAATGTGAATTTGGAAATTTAGATATTCAGGAATGCAGTAATTCGAAAGCATAAAAATTCGGAAACATAGGTATTCAGTCCTACACCTATTCTCACATATAAAATTTCAAAAATACATATAGTACCTCAACTATACAAAAACTCACTGATCTAATAATTCGTAAATATAATAACCTCAACTATACAAAAACTCAGTGATCTAATAATTCGTAAATATAATAATTCATAAACACTATTATATAATGATATCCACCATGTAACTCTCCTCGTAAACACCTGATCATCCTCATCAAAGCGCCAACCCATGGTTCGCCACCAGTACACATTGTTCCACTGCATGACGCACCTCGTGTTTCAAAAGCGTCGGCCAGAACGGGGTTGCACCGAACTGGCTCGAAAAGTGAACGCGTGATAACGACGCATATATACGCATGCTCGTGAAACGGTCGCGACGGAAATTGAGATGATGAAATTGAACGCGAGTATCAACAATGCACGCGATCGTTCGATTATCCTACTCGACGCAGCTGAGCAAATAACTGGGATAAAATGCTCGGCTCATGCTGCTTTCAGCCTGCTGTTTCGGCTTCCTTGCTATAATTTCACTTGTTGTTTCTCGTGTTTGCCGTTATGTTACCTTGCGTCGCGATAACTTTCCTTCACGTATCTGGTTGATTATCTGCGGGATAATTCGGAGGAAATTAAGGTCTGTTCGACGGAATTCTAGCTCGCGTGATTTCTAGTTGTAGAAAAGATTTCGTAAGGTTCGATGGATGGAAGTGTGACAAGTAGGAAGTTGGATAATCTCGAGCCTAACTATTCTGGACTGTTTCTCTTTAGTTGGAAAATTTGGGATTTAGGATTTAGGATTAGGGGATTTGGGAATTTAGGAAGTTTTAGATTTGCAGATTTTTTGCAAGTTGGAAAAATTACAAATTTGGGACTTTGGCGAAGGTTGGAACTCTGGAATTTCCAACCTCTCAAATTTCCAATCTCTCAAATTTCCAATTTCCCGAATTTCCAATCTCTCAAATTTCCAATTTCTCAAATTTCCAATCTCTCAAATTTCCAATTTCCCAAGTTACCAATCTCTCAAATTTCCAATTTTCCAAATTACCAATCTCTCAAATTTCCAATATTTCAAATTTCCAACCTCTCAAATTTCCAATCTCTCAAATTTCCAACCTCTCAAATTTCCAATCTCTCAAATTTCCAATTTCCCAAATTACCAATCTCTCAAATTTCCAACCTCTCAAATTTCCAATCTCTCAAATTTCCAACCTCTCAAATTTCCAATCTCTCAAATTTCCAATTTCCCAAATTACCAATCTCTCAAATTTCCAATTTCCCAAATTTCCAATCTCTCAAATTTCCAATTTCCCAAATTCCCCAATCTCCACAATCTACCAATCTCCCAATCTCCAAATTTCCAAATCACGAAATTACCAAGTTCCTTCCACAAAACTTCTACCTCCTCAAATGTCCCCACCTCCAATTCCCCAAATCCCCACATCCCAAATCCCTCCACCCTGAAACCCCTAAATTTTCCAAATCCCACCCCAAATCTCAAACTCCCCAAATTCAATAATTTCAACAACCCTAAATTTCCCAATACTCGTTCCAATAATTGTTCTAATAACAATTCTAAAACAAAATTCCACCACTAACCGACTAATCAAATCTCCCAATAGCGGATCACAGGTTTTGACCATGAATCAACAAATTGTGCAATAGTTACGTAACACACAATCGAAGCTATCATTTGCATTCTTCTTCCGGCTGTTAGATCAATCGCCGATTAGTCCATGATTGCAGGGTAGATCGTGTTAGGTGTTTCACGGTGGTAAATGAAAATGGCTACGTTCCGATCAGCGGGACATTAACGCTTAAACAGCTGGTCACGCATTAGTGCGTGATTTTGTCCGCAACGTTTAACATTCGATAACTAAGTACTACTTGCAGTATTTTACATCTTTCAATTACCGGGTAGTTACTTATCACGTACTCGTAAAACATAGTATTATACTGCTTCGTTTACTTGAAAAAAAGATTCCGTTTTAAACGATGGTAATTTCCTTCGTTTACAACGTTAACCTGTTATCTTATAATCTTGCTTAGATGTTTTTTTCATTTATTTATTTATCACCTGACTGAAAATACATGGATCGTATATTTAGTTTTTATTGTACAGGGTGTATCATTTTTATAAAAAGTGTTTTACTGTAATAAGTACTTTATTTTAGAAATATTATTAAAAACACATTATGTGTTCATATTTTCTATAACAAACATACCAGATGGAGAATAAAATTAGATGAAGTTAAGTAGTTAAATTAAAGTGGAATAAAAAATCAAAATGAAATTTGGATGACAGACTCAGTTTACTGACACACTCACTTTCTGTACAAGAACTTATAATTTCAACATTTCTATTATATTTTTCTACTAAAACAACCTTTCACATATTTCATCACACAACCAAACCCCTTCAATAATTTTTCACCGCCTCAAATCGAACATATTCCAACTTTCCAACGCTTGCAACAATAACTCATTCAAAAATCGCGCCAAAACAGATCGAAGCAAGTCAAGTTCAAACCCAATAAAGTCCAAACAACCACTTAATAACTCTAAAACGGCGTCTTTGTCCGTAATCTCCTTGATGTTCCGCAGAACAGATTCCCAGAGAACAATCGAAAGATTCGTGAGGTAACAGATAATTGAAAAGACGAAAAGTAGATTAGGCCACTTTCCTGGGACAAGGGATGCAACCGGGTTTAATTATTGTCAGCTCCGCTCGAACTTAATAACCCTCGTCTTTCTTCGTTCCCTCGCAGGCTTCCAAGAGTAGATTACGCTTAATTACTGTTATGACGCTCGCCAGAATGGAACACAATGTAAATAGGTTTCGAATGGGACCGTGTTCCTCAAAGAGGAAATGCAACTCCGATCTCCCACCGCTAACTTTTGCATACAGATTGCGATGCGCCTTTGTTACATTGTCTCGGTGTACACGCTTCAATTTCTATTTAACGAGTTAACTGACATAATGAAAATCGGCTTCTGCGGTTTAGCTCCAACTTTAATGTGTACCATTACATGTACATTATTAAATGTTCATAACAAAATGTTCATGATAAAATGTTCATGATAAAATGTTCATGATAAAATGTTCATGATAAAATGTTCATGATAAAATGTT